ACGAGCACTGTTTCTATGGTTTTGTATCCAAAGAGAGGAGACTATTGATGAATGTTAGTCTCTTGTTCTTTGTCCATTCAAACTAACATGACACAATATCAAAAATCTTCTAAAGAAAGTAATCAGTATTGCTCAATTATACAATCGTCCATTTGTATGGACTCAGCCATAATGATTACAAGATCGTCGTAATATGCGGGTCTATCAATACAGATAATTAATACAATGTTGACTTTTCTTCTGAAAGATACTCTTTGATAACTCTTTATACAATTGAAAACAAAGTGTAGTGAAATGTGAGCGTGGATGAAGTAAAGAATCATACCCACATCACATAAAATATAGAGATGTTTCCAAAACGTTGAAATATTTAACATTTTTTTAATGCGCTTATGTCTATTTCTATGATCGGTAGAATGACAGATGTAAGTAGTAGATAATATAGAATGGAGGATAAAAGGAATTACATGAGAACATTAAATATTGCTACATTTAATGTAAATTCGATGAGAATTTCGTGGTGAATCTCTCGTAAAGAGCACTTATGCAAGAGACTAAGATCCACTGAATTGTTTCATAATAGGTACAGAATAGAAAAGAATATATATAGTCCGAATTGATTTCTATTTGTTGTCTGATGGTGACAAAACGAAACGAGCAGAAAAGGAGATGACACATTTTGAAAACAAGAACGAAAATTTTGTAATAGTTGTCTTTTTTTGTTTCATTTAATCAGCTGCATCGTTCATAGCGATCTCTTACACAAATGATGAAAAAACACTACCAATGACAATTAATTCATCATATATTTTCACTTGATTAAAAAACCACTTGCCTATCAGTGTTTTTATATTGATATTCAAAGTCTACAAAAATCTCAGATGTATCGAATTTCTTTTTTTTTTCTTCCTCTTCTCTTGAGTATAAAGTTTGTATTACAATTATTTTATGCATATGATGCATTGAGAGCAAATGTAATTCCAGCTTTAGACAGAAAATTCGAAATAAGATGTAAAACACTAAGTGTATTTCGACGCTTTTTTATATTCACAAAAGGAACTCCAAAAGAGCCTTCATATATGAGATACGCCAAGGACAAGAAGAAAAATCAATATGGATACCTATCACGTCGTATGCATAATTTATGTCCTACTCAAGAAAAGAAAACCAGTAAGATGCAGATTAGAGGCCTTGTCGAACTGTTTTGTTTCTCTTTGTCTCAAAAGGTGTCAATCAAGATAGGTTAGAAAACTACACATGTATTTTAAATAGGGTGTTGTAACAAGAATGGATGTAGAGTGAATGGACAAGAGATTTACATTTCATATCCACACTCGTAATAATGCCTCGTTCTGATTCATTGAAAATATCGGTGCTCATAATTCGAAATATTGCATGGATATATATAAGCATAAAACATTTATTTATTCAATTGAATGATGTACCTGATGAAATTTTTATGATGATTTTAAAAGAAACTGACAAACATAGCTATGGTTTATTCTTTGATAGGTGTTAATGAATGATTTAATCAAATTATATATAATTCTGATTTTAAAAATCATTCATCTTAAATAGTATCTATATCCAATGAGTATATTTATTCACTATCTGATCCAAAATTTGATCAGTTTTGTTTACAAATTTTACCTGAAATTTATCATAAAATTCAACAGTTTAATCTTGTATCATCTTCAATGAAACTCATTCTTTTTATCTAAAATTATCCTAATTTAAACTGGACTTTGTTTATATAATATTCATGAAGAAACAGTTATACATCTTTTTAGTATTAAGTTGTTCATTTATGGTTCTCATATATGTAAATTACTGTCCAATAAAAAAATTGAAATAAAATCTACACATTAAAATGTAAGTAAAACAGGTATAAAATTTCATGAAATATTATGCTTAATAATTTTTAAAAAATCTTCTCTTTATTTTAGATGAGTATCGTTTCAGTTATATCTTCGAAAATCCAATATTATCACTTATTTTCGATATTAATACAAATGAAAAACAAAATATATCAGAAAATATGATTTCAATTAAAATGTTGTTCTCTTTCTTTTTGATAATGATACTTATGATTGCGATCCATTCATTTTACCATTTTCACATGGAATATTAAATTTAAAGAAACTTTATTTATATCTTTTTGTTTATAGACGAGAAACATTTACTGGTGGTAATGAAATGAAATACCAAAAAATTACTGAGCATATGCCAAATTTAAATACATTGACATTTAATATTTATTCATTTATTTATTTTAATCAGCAATTAAAATAATTCAAAAATGTTAAATATTAGAAAATTACTTCTTGTATTGATTATTTTCCAAAAGTAGGAATAGATCAATTTCATATTTATTTTATTTATAACTATATTAGAACATTATGATACTATAACAAATAATTTTCCAGATGGAATATTTAAATGTGTTCGTAAAATATTATTCTTTGATGAACGACCATTTGAACATGAATTTTTTTTCGTATTTCTCAATGATCTTCAATATTAAATAAAAATAAACTGTAGTCAATCGAAAACGACAAAAACAAAAAAAAAGCAATGAAAATTTATTGATCATTCAATATCCTCCTCTCGCTGGACTTGGTCTTATTGCTGTTCATATTGATAATGTTTAACAATTTTTATTGATAATCAACTTCAAATGTATAATAGCTTTCATTGATTGATTTATAAAAGTAATGAACATATTCTTATTTTTTTCAATCAATAAAGATAACTGAGCGTTCATACATCAACCATATAGCAGTATAGTTAAGAATCATTCAACGCGAAAGAATTTGTCAACGAAACTGTCTTGAGAAGTATTTTACCATAGACAGTTCATAAATTTAAAGTGTTGTTCTATCATCTCTACTTTTTTTTTTGAATACTAGTTATCACTAATTTATGCAATTTAACCCATAAACCTTTGTTTTTCAGGCAAATCTTTGCGTTCTTTCTTTCAAAGAGAAAAAAGTACGACTTATCACTGTCATCACTTGATTTTATTGGACTTTAATAATTTTCCATCAATTTTAATAGCTTTAAATGAAATTCGATACAGTCGAATAAATCCACTCTGAACTATATCAGAATTTACTTTTGCTTCTTTGAGTCCGTTTTCATATTTAAAATTCTTTTCTAATGTATCGTTTGCCATTGAAATAAGAGTCCTTTTGCTTTCTTCTTTCACTATCGTCAAATTTACTTTCGAAATACTGTTAAAGCTTCATTTATATTCCAACTCGAATCAAAAAACTCATTCAATCTAAGTCAATATCCACTTCGTCGACAGTCAATTTGTTGATTTTATTTTCAATGACATTGTAGCAATTGTATCAGAGACTACTGATCACGTATGACTGAGTTTGCAATCAAAGTTTCAAAACTGTTACTATCTGAGAAATCACTAAAACAAAGCCGATTAAACTTTCGTTTCTAGCAATAATCTTTGTACGTCACTGTTTCTTCTTGTTTAAATCTACTCAATTTTAAGTGATATTTAGTAATCTACAAAGATATACTAATTTTCTTCCGTACGAAGAAATCAGATTCATAATTTTAATCCAATGAATAGTCCTAATGATGAGTGAGATGAATCTTCATTTTTCGAGTAGGTGTAGTTACGAAAATTTCAGCATCAATTCAACCATAAGTAAGTAGATCGTGATGCAATGTTGAAACCAAAAAATCTCAGTGTAGCTCGAGTTTTCGGTTAGTTACTATGAAGTTTATGATACGTCCATTCGATGGGTAGATAAAGAATAATCAATAATGAAGGATATACAAAGACAGAACAAAAATTGATTATTTGTCACTTTGATCGACCTAGTTGGCTCCACACGTTGTTAGATCTAGCTAAGTTGAATAGTTTACCATAAAACTCTCATAGGAGCTCATACGTTCTTTGCAGAGATGAATACTCATATCTGACAACGAGTCTTCGATTTAAACATATGTCCATTACACTGGTCTATGGCAAATAATGAGTTTGAGTGTAAATATAGTCGAGACGAACACTCATTGACATCAAGACCGAGACTAACTGAAAGGTATTAGTGCATGTCTCTGAAGAAAAACTCTCCTCCATATCTACACTACATATCACTTCAACACATTTTCTATGTGGACAAAAATTAGTGTTGAATATTATTCATGAATATACTAAACTCAATACTCTCGATGAACAATCATATCTTGACTATGATACCTGTAGAAATTTTTTGACTAGAACAGATAAGAGAAAGTACTAGATTTTGTTAGAAGAATGATAATAAAGAGTTAAAAGACGATCATGTTCATTCTCAAAAGAATTATTAAATATTATCACGATTAAGACTTTTTTTTGGCACAATATAAAAGTTGTTTTCTTGAGAATAATTATCTTGGATGAAGTTTTTGATTTATTATCAATAAAAATCAATTGACTTATTCATACAAAATAATATAAAAAATTATTGAAGACACTAACGGAGATGTAACAACATGTTATTCACAAGCCGATTAAAATTGACTCATGAAAAATACACTTGATCTCTTGTTTGTATATGTCATGTACACATGAGCGTCCTAAAAAATAGTTCCTAATAGATTTAGTCAATGATTTGTGTCTGATTAAATAAAAATTTGTTGATTATACAATTAAACGTATTTATGATCATATCCTATCTACAATGGAGATGATTATTATGGACTTCGTATTTCCTCTTATAAAATTGATGAACAAATAGAACGAAACTTTTAAGATTGATATTCGAAAGATCAAATGATATAGATTGCTAAAATATCTTCTATCAAATTTGCATAGTCATATGACTGTATACAGGTTTAAATGACTATTATATTTTGTTTCGTTTTTCTGCCTATGACTGTTTCCACCGGGCGTTAATCTTGACGGTCTGTTTTTCTTTTTTTTTGTCTGAGCAACATATTTAAATTGCAGAATTCATATTATGAATATACTCAATTTAGATTGAAACATACGTATGAATGAAATCGAACGAAAACGAAGTTCTGATGATTTATCAGAAGAGAAAACAAAGAAATTTCACAGTAAGTTATTCACCTTCTAGTCAGACGTGAAAGTCTATAAAACACGTCTATTTGCGAGGAATTTTTTAAAACATTCGTTTACTTGCAAATTAATGTTCAAGTAATTTCATGTAAGAATTTAGATTTATTTTTATCGAAGTGTAATTATTTATTGTTCTACAAAATAGAATCGTTCTACTATAAACCGTACAATATACTAGTTCAAAAAACTTGTTCATTTTTTTTTTAAATTTTTTGAAGTTGTTAGCATTCGTATACACGGATGTCGGAAGGCTATCGAATAATTATTCTCTATATGTCTTATATAAGTAAATGACTGAATGATGAAAAAGTTCGTCTAGAGAAACAAATTATATAGGTTTGAATTTTATTTGACTGAACTGATGAATATAAAGTTATTTTTATTTTTAATTTTTATCGTAATAGATGAATTTAAGCAACAAACATTGACTTGTTTTGAAGATCTATCAAATGAATTATTATGTGAAATATTTGATTATCTTAATGGATATGACTTATGTAAAATATTTTCAAATCTTAATAATCGATTAGAACAACTTCTTCATTCTTCATTGGTATTATATAAAATTCGTTGTTATTTATGTCAAAATGATGAGATAATGAACGTATTTAAACAATTTATGTTTTCCAATCGGCATCAAATATTTTCTATACATGTGAATTTTATATTTCCAGATACTTATTTTTTTTTATCATTTTTATTCGATTCATCGTTTGATCATCTTGAATCAATTGTTTTTAAACATATTCAATCCGATACAATTATTCCAATTCTAAGCAATTTATCTTCTTTACCAAATCTTCTCTCATTAACAATTGAAACATCTGATGTTAACGAAAAAATCAATGATATCTACCAATTGATATTTGTTTTACCTAAATTAAAATATTATCGATTTTCTTTTGCTGATAAACCACATTCAATTACACTTCCACTAGCCATGAATAACCAATGTAGTCCTATTGAATATCTTGTTATTGATCATTATTGTTCTTTGAACGAACTTGTAATTTTAACTTCTTATACAACACAACTTCGACGTTTAACTCTTCATGAAACAAAAATGAATGATTCAAATATGACGATATTATCATCAATTACATTAGCTAATCTAAAATCGATGTATTTGAATTTAGGTCGAGCAAAATTTAATGAACTGGAAACATTCATCACAAAAGCATTTTCAAATGTAGAAACTTTATCTATTATTGGATCGAAAGATATCACTTTTCTTGATGCTTATCGTTGGGAACAATTAATTGTAAATTATTTTCCTAAGTTAGAAAAATTTTATCTATTCTATGATGATCGAATTGATAATGAACAAGAATATTCAATATATACTGGAGAAATGGACAAATTTTCTTCATCATTTTGGATTGAACGACAATGGTTGTTTGAAGTCGAAGTTAGGGATATAAGTATCGTATATATAATACGCCCATATTGGTATGTAGAAAAATAATTCCGATAAAAAATGTATAATTTGATTTCTTTTTCAGTAAAAGATGGTATGATGATACGAAACATAATATTGTTAATTGTGTCGTTGAACATACTACATTTATTGATTTGACAATCGAATGCGTTCTTTATTATATGTTTGAAAAAGTGGTGTTCAAAGCAATTGAACATATTTTAACAATAACACACATTTATCATTTAGATATTCTTCAGAAAAAGATCTCAATTCCAGCATTGATTCACACTGTTAATCTGTTACCAGACATAACTACATTACGAATTCATTCATTATCAATAGACGAAACAAACAAATTGACTATTCAACAAATTCGGATTTTATGTTCTATGAAAGCGACAAGTAAAGTTACCAAAGTCTATCTTGAAGAGATTGGTAATATTCAAGAATTTGATTTTCTTTTCACACTTTGTCCTCATATGGAATATTTCAAAGTTAAATGTATAAGTATGATGAATATTCAATCATTTTTACATGCTTTTTTCAAGAAAATTAATCGCATTAATAATCATTCTCTTCGTTCATTATGTTTTTATGTTTCAACAGCAATTGATGAAATAATTAAAAATATTCAAGAAATGATTAAATGTGAAAAATTACTCTCTCATTTTACAATTAAATGTGCGCAGGATACTATTTGTTTACAATGGAAATGACTTGAACATATGTAGTTTTTTTTTCTTGTAAAATTTATTAAAATAAAATGATTTGCAATAATTAACGTTTGACAATGAAACATGATTCATTCTATAGTATCTATGCTAAAAATAAAAGCAGAAAAAGAATAAACATTATCTGTTAGTTACATAACCATAATATATTCTGGTTTCATTGGAACTTAATATCAAATCAACAAACTTACGCTAATATATTCAGAACTTCCATCGAAAATTGATCTACACCTACATCCTAGATCATCAAAAAAAAAGTTCTTCTAAGAAGACAATGTTGTGTTCTAGTTAATGGATCTTCAAATGGCAATATTTCTATACAAATCAATTCAGAATATTAATTTTTTTTTCTGAATAAATACAGGAAAAAATTCATCAACTTCATTTGCAAGCTTTGTCGATCTATTCTCAAGAAACGATGAGGGTGGGTGTGGGTGGTGCTGGTTTGAGTTTCGAGGTGAATTTAGCTAAAACGAACTTCCATACCCTTACAAATCAGATATTTTCTATCTTAATGGAAAAGAGCTTAGAACATTCTTCGATTCACGATAACGAGAAATCATTAAAAAAAACTGCTTTTTGTCGTTATACACCCGCAATCTAATCAAGAAAGGATACTATATTTTCGACTCATTAGGAATTGCTCTGATGCATTTATTTTTATTACAGATATGTAACTAATTCATCGTCATCATCTTTGTTCATATCAGCGATTAGTTGACTTTGCTTAGTAAGTAATTCTCCTGGTGTTCCACATTCAACAATAATATCATCTTTCATAATAACAATCTTATCACTATCCATTATTGTATTGAGACGATGTGCAATTGTTAATATTGTTTGATTTGTAAATTTTTCTCGTAAAATTTTTTGAATTAACTCCTCAGTTTTTGTATCAACATGTGCTGTTGCTTCATCGATTAGTAAAATTTTACTTTGTTTTAAAATTGCTCTTGCTACACATATTTATTGACACTCACCAACACTAAAATTACTCCCATATTCTGCTACTTTTGTATTTAAATTTTCTTTTAATTTGTTGATTTTTGTTTTCAATTGAACAGCTTCTAATGCATCCCATAATTGTTCATCCGTATAATGGTTGAATGAATCTAAATTATAACGAAGTGTATTACTAAACAATACAGGAAATTGTGGGATAATATTTGTATTTGATCGCAAAGCATTCAAACTAATTTTATTAATATCAACTCCATCAACTAATATTTTACCATCTGTTATTGATTTATCTGTTAATCGAAATAATGCTTGAAAAATTGATGATTTTCCAGCACCTGTACGTCCAATAATACCAATTTTATGTCGTGCTTCAATTTTTAAATTTATTCCTTTTAACATAGGTTCAAATTCTGAACGATAACTTAGTTTAAATTTTTCAAATTCAATTCTTCCTTCAACTGGCCAATTAGTTGGTAGTTCTAATTCTTCTTTGTGGAGACCGGGTTCTGAAGGGATGTGAAAATATTCATTAATTCTCTCAGCACTAATCATATAATTTTCTGTTTCAGTTGATTGACGTACTCCCCATTGAAAGATATCTGTTAAATTTATAGCGTACATTAGACCTAATGCTGCAGATAAAGGATCCATATTATTACGTAAGGACACAGTTAAAATTGCTGTCAAAAATGATAAACAACAAGTCATTAAGTCTAATCTTATACCAAACCATCTAGTTGAACAAAGAAACATGAAAAATGCATGTGTGTTTGCATTAACTTTATCAATAAATGAATTTACGAAATCATCTTCTACTTTGAATGCTCTAACAGTAATTAATCCACTTAGTGTTGAAGAAAATAATGTATAAATAGGACTTCTACTTTCTCATCGTTTTATTTCTCTGCTTGTTTTTACATAATAACTTCTTAACCATAGAAATGCTGGAATAATGATTATCAATGTCAATAATACCCATGGATTTGCCATACCAATAATAACAATACTACCTAATACCATTATTAATAGCTGAATTGTATCAAAAAACGTTAGCGGTTTAGAAGTAGATAAAAGAGTTACAAGGTTTATCAATGCTTAAAAGTCATTATCTAATACAAAAGGGGAATTCTACAGTAAGATGTAAATCAGCTGAAAATAATATCATTTTATTCATTTTCAAATCTATGAGAGAGCAATGAATAATAGTTCTGATCAAATAAGCATGGTCGTAAACAGTAATACAACCATGTACTGATCGTTTTGATAGCTGTTGTATTGTCCTTGTGTATTGTTGTGTCGAAAATGGTCATAAACGATCGGGTACTCAGTTTGTAACTGTTTACGACTTGACGATATCAAATTTTAAAAGTGAAGTCTCTATTCTCCTGATTTTTTATGTGCTACAGAGCTCATCGAGCTACGTATAACCTGAAATTTTTTTCGATTTCTTCCTAGCTAAGGGCGTTTTTCACGGAAAAAAGATCAACAGCGAGTTGGAGAAGAAGGATGAAAACATAACAGATGATAAAGTTACTATTGTGGGTGTGAGTGTTGGTCGGTTTGCGTGCAGATTAAGATTCACTAAGCCCACACCACCCACACCCACATACACACCCCGCACCCACACCCACCCACACTCACTCACACCTATACCCACACTCACCCACACCTACTCACGCCTACACCCACACCCACCCACACTCACCCACACCTCACACCCCGAAGAAAAACATTAGAATAATACATACTGAACGAAGTGTAAATTGAGATTATTCAGTAATGTTTCATATCTTGTGATTATTCTCATTGATTGGTGTGGATTGAGAGGTCAGCTTTTCAGTCACTCGCACACACAATTTTGATGAATCTTTAAGAGCAGATTAACTTTGTTTTCTATTCAGTAAAGTATTGTGAAAAAGAATTAGAAAAGCATTACACTATTCTGAAATAGTTTTTCTAAACAGATAATTAAATTTTCCTAGTGATATTTCTCAACTGTACAATAATGTCATTAGAAATCAATAAATAAAATAATCGTTTCTTGAACTAAATGATGTCTTGAAGATGAGAGAAATCTTAATCCATGAAAATACCAAAACTTATCGCATGTCGATGATAAGTATCAGTAATCATGTTGAGTCTGGTGCAAACATTTCGGACTAAACATAAAATTGTGCAGTAATCAAGATCGTCCAGAATCCAATACACAAAATCAACAAATATTGTCAGCATTGAACAAGGAACTTCACAATGCCATAAATGTTGAATATTTCCGAATAATGTGTGCTGTTGAAATCAATGATTATTGTAACTTTTTGCCTTATTGTCGATACGTTTGTAGAAAGTACATCATTGGCAGTCATTAAGATTGTGCAAGTTTTTGTTTACATAGAGAACAGAGAAATTATTTCATACACTTCGTGAAGGAGGCAACGAAGAAAAAAGAGGATGTCATGTAGAAGATTGTTATTTTTCTTTTTCGATTCCTCGTTAAGCGATGCAATTTTTTTCATCATTAGTAATAAAAAACGAACAAAACGATGCAGTGAAAACTTATTTTGAATGTGCATAGATTGATTATGTACATTGACTTTGCATTTTTGGTGAAAAAAACCTTCAATGTGGAGAAAAAAAGAACTGCACCTATTATTATTCAGATGAGAATTTTGAGGTTGTAGTTGTGAATATGGTTATTATTGCGCAAATTGATGACGAGAAGCCACACACTGCCATCATCAAGAGTATATGCACTCGCCAAGCCATCGCTGGTATCTACAGCAACCGTACAGACATGGACCCTTGCATCGATACTTACCATACTGACACATCATACACACCTCACTGAGGGTGTGGGTGTAAGTCTTCTTTTCAACCACATTCACACCACACCCCCACCCCCACCCACACACGAACTAATTGAGAATAATAGTTAATGAAATATCTGATCAAAAGCTTTCATCTGTGATTTTGACTTCTTGTCACACTTCTAAATCTTTCTATATGTGTAATTAGAGCAAATTTTTTTAGAAAAAGCACACGATTGACTTTTGCAATGTCTGCACGCGATTGAATATGAAACAGACAGAACTCGGTACTGCTTTTCGTACACATCTCTACAAAGAGAAATGCTTGACTTTTCTCTATATAATTTCTCACTCGATTAACTTTGACATCTCAAATTTCAGATTTTGATACTACCACAAATATCAACATCCATTTATCTATATAGAAATGAATAAATCTCTAGTGATATTGAGATATAAATAAATGCTGAATACTCAAGAAGGATAAAAGTTAAATGAGAAAACATGAATGATCAAATACGATACAATCACATGATGGAAGTGATCATCATCTAAGAATTGAATGACGGTAAGGTTCTAAACTTCAGCTTAAGGAGCAATGTGAGATGTGAACTGTCAAAAAGAGACAATTTTTATACAAGGATTCGAATATGTTTAGAGAGAGTTTTATTTTTTAACTAAAATAAATCTTTCTATTAGATTTACTTTAGAAAGAATCGATCGTTGTCTGAGTTCTGCGATATTAATATTATATAACAAATCTCTAGTCAAAATAATACCTGATCAACGTTTTGCTTCAATAAACTAATAATATTTCATTTTGACCACTTCAATCTTTTATAATTCTATATGAGTTAACAATAATCGCTCTTTCTTTGTGTGAACCTGAAAGATCAACGAATAGGATCATATCAAAACCTATACTTGATTTTATTTGGTAACATGTAATAGGTATTGCTTCCTTAATTTTTAGTTCCCAACATTAAATCTTCTTTCGATGAACATAGTAAATATTCATTGGCTCATGAACTTCTCTAGGAACAAAATAAACTACTGCTGAAAATGCAATTTAAATTGGCATCAGTCTTAGCAGAAGCTCAATTATTGTTTGAAAAGAATGTCAACTTTCTTTCTCTATATTCTTATGATCGTTTGGTCTTACTAAAGAATACGGTGAAACAGACTGCAGATCTAGGAGCCAATCTTATGTTACAGAATTTGAAACTTTATGATCATCCAGCTTTCTGCAAGCCTGCTGAAGAAATCTATGATCCACCTGCAATAGCTATGACTAGACGCA